ATAAAGTTAATAAGTGTTTGTTAGATGAAAAAATATAGAGTATGGATATGGGAAAGATTAGATGATAATTGGCAGATATTATGATATTTGAAGATTACTGATTGTAAGTCAGTAAATATATAAACAGAGTAGTGTCTAGGAGCAGTAATAATTGCTGAGAGAATAACAAGAATTTTAGCTTTGAAAAAGCATGATCATAGTTTAATTTGTGTCTAAAATGAGTTAATAGTTGTAGAGTTATCAACTTGAACCCAACCTATATCCATATAACATTGTGAGGTACCAAGATCAATAACAAAACCATCAGTGTAAAATAAGATAGATGATAGATTGTAGTTTGAGTTAGCAATAGTCTGAAGGTTATTAACAAGTTGGTATATTTCAAAAATAGGAGGTAGTTGTTGTAGATTAATTGTAAATAAAGATGAAGGTGAAATATGTAAGGAATATCAAAGAGCAACAGAGTATGCAATATCAAGAAAGTTTGCATAAAGGTTGAGAGTTTTGTCAGAATTGATATAGCAGAGTAGCTTAGTAGCCAAGTTAGTAAAAATAAAGATAGTATATTTGTTAGCAATTGTATTTGAATTAAGATGACATCCAGTACATAATGTAGTAGTAGAAGGAGGAGTAGAGTAGAAATTAGAAAACTGAAACTGAAATGAGTAGTATTAGTAGTTAATGAGAATAAAGCCAATAGGTATATTATGCTTTCTGATCTTGTTAATAATTATTTGGTTATCAAGAACAATAAGTAACCAAGGTTTAGTATTAAAGATAAAATGATTAGTAGAGTAGCAAAAATAATTTGTAGAAGATAGGTTATAATAATCATATAGAGTGCATTAGTAAGAATGGCTTATAGTAGTGTTCTCAAGGGTAGTAAACTATTGTGGTATAACACCTTTTGGAATTTTATTAAGTTTGGATGAAATATGTTGCCAGTGCAGTAAATATGAGTTGTTATACATAGTAAGTTAGTTCAGAAAAGAAGTTTATGGTATCTGAGTTGTTTTTAAAAATAGAGTATTTTGAATTAAAAGAAAGAAAAAATTCAAGAGATATGATTCCATTATTTAGAGTGTATGAAATATTATAGATTAAGCTAGTTAAAAAAGTAAATAAACTTATTGTTAACAAAGCTTAAGTATATAAAATACTAAGAAATAGACAAAACTTAAGTGGTTCTTATTTTGAATTAAGCTTTTTGTCTAGTAAATTTCTTTATATATTTAGTATTCAAACTAAAAAAATATTCTAAAAGTAAGTAAAGACAAAATTAGTTCTCTGAATAAGAATATTAGAAGTAAAAAAAAAAAGAATAACTAGAAAAGTTCTTTTTAATTTAAATCTTTGCAACAATTATATATATTCTCTTTATTTTTTTTGTTTTTTACAAAAAATGTAAATATAACTTATCTTTATTAAAAGATTCACAGTTCAAATAAAGAAATATCAATACTATATTGGTATTTTTTAGACCTGATATTAGACTAATATTAGTTAAAATTTGACTAAAATTAGAAACTTATAGAATAAAAATCAGTGTTATATCAGCTTTAAGTAATATTGGTAAGATAATAGCTCTATAGATAAATCAATAATGCTCTTAATCAATTAATTAATAGCTATTAATAAATTAATTAATAATATTATTAATTTATTTATAAAGCTATTAGCTTACTAATATTGCTTAAAACTAATATAATACTAATTTTTATCTTATAGATTTTTGATTCTAGCCAAATTTTAACTAATATCAGTCTAATATCAGATCTAAAAAATACTAATATAGCACTGATATTTTTTTGTTTAACTTGTAATTAATATTATTCATTACTTTTTTTTGTAATTACATGTTTGTTTGAATATGACAAATAAAAAGCACAACAAACATATATGTTAGCCAATTATATAGAGTAAATTAAAAAAAAATTATATGTTTGTTTGAATATGACAAATAAAAAGCATAACAAACATATATATTAGCCAATTATATAGAGTAAATCAAAAAAGAATTTAAATTAAAAAAAAACCAAAAATATATTAAAATATGCATATATTTTGAAACTATATGTATAATATTTTTTAAAAAAATAGGTATAGAAATTTATAAAAATTAGATTACTTAAATACATTTCAAGTTTTGGCATAACACTTCAACTACTTAATGATTTTTTCTATATAGAAAATTATATATATATATTTTTTAATTTTATATACTATTATCTTTTCTATTCTTTTAATAAAATATTTTACTTTATCTTCTAATATGTTTTTTAACAAATCTCATATCATTAAAATTAATTTTTTTTATTATTACTATTTGTATTAGTTTTTTTTTTATATAATATTTATATAACTTGTAATTTATTTTTTGTTTTTATTCATATTGTTTTTTTCTTTTAAAAATTTTTATTTTTATTTTCATTTTTTTAGCTTTTTTATTTAATATTGTTCTAAATTAGTTATTATTTTTTTTGAATTTATTAGTTATTTTTTTTATTATAACTATAATTAAAAATAATTATAATCTATGTGTTTTCTTTTTTAAAAAGTTCTTTGACTTCTTTAATATATTTATTATATATTAGTAATTATTAGTTTTGACTATTAGATAAAATATTATTAATATTTATATCGTTGTATTATTTGTGTTTTTTTTAATTAAAATTAAAAATTTAATTTAAAATAATAATAGATTGTATATTTTGTACTTAGAAAATAATTGTTGAATTTTTTAAATAAAAATAATAAATAGACTTTTTAAAATATAAAACTATTTTGTTAAGATATAGATGAATTTTGTTGTTAATTAGATTGAGTTTAAGTATAGAATTTATATTAAAATTTAGTATTAAATAAGATAGAGTCTAGTATTAAGTAGTTTGATTATTAGTTATTTTACAATTAATAGATAAATTATATACAGTATATGAATGTTAATATATAATAGATAAATAAGATGAACTAAGTAATGGTAAGATCAATTTAGTAGAATTTATAATATTGTATATCCAAGATTTTTTTTTAGTTTTTTTAATAATATTAAGTATTATAATTTATATAATATTTGATTAGTTACAGAAATAAAAGATATATAAAATTTAATATAGAAATAACAATAGCTTGTTATTAATATCATAAAAAAACAATTATATTTATTGTTATCTCTAAGTTTAGTTATTAAACAACTAATAGATTGTTTGTCAATATAAATAGAATATAATATGTTTATATTATCTTTATAAATTCTAATATCAAAACTTTTGAACATTTTTGATAAAAGTAATCAAATTGATAATATCAAGTGTAATTATAACAAAGTTGGTATCTTGTATAGTTATATATACTAAATAGTATTATAATGTTTAAATTTATTAAAATATTTACCTTTTTTTTAATAATATTAATTCTAAAATAAACTTTTAATATATACAATGGATTAAATACTAAATTAATCTCTTATATATAATTGCTAATATTCAAATTTAGATGAATTCCAATTAGTTTAAGTTACAGATAAATTAGCCTAAAATTCTACCCTTTCTATAATATTTTAAAAATAGATTTATGTTTTATATAAAAATCTTAATTAAATATTTAATAGACAAAAGCATGACCTCATTATTAAAAAAATTATATAACATATCTTACAATACCTCAATAACAAGTACCTTTAGCAAATAATATCTGAGTATTGATGTGTTTTATTAATTTGAAAAATCAATATGTAACCAGGTATAATATATGATTAATCAGAAATACGTAGTTTGATAATTAAATTCTTGGTTTATATGGGGGGTTTTTTTATAGAACACTAGCTACTGTATTGTATCCTCTACTATATAAGGTATTTGAGGAATACTATCTAAGGTTTACGGGTTATGCAGGTTTAATTATATATACGCAGAATATAATATATGCTATACAGTAAGAATAAATTGTCGAACTAGATGTTGGATGATCATCCACTTCATAAAATTAATAAAAAAAAATATCAATCAATTACGAGTCCAACTAATTGATTAGAAATGTTTTGCCAGAAAACATAACTCTGAATCTAAATACAGTATACGTTTAAATCCATTTTTTGAATAAATGTTATAGTTAAAATTAGAGATGTACCTTGCGTGAAGCAATAAAACTATTGCACCCACGATCTCACGCGACTCTCGTGAGATAAACTATTCGATTAAGAAATTTTTAATGAAATTTTTAGCATATATTCTAAAATAAATTTTATCACATTAGAATCGCGAACTCGCGGGACAAGTATGTTAGGTTTATCTCGTGCGAGGCACATCTCTAGTTAAAGCTATAAATTAGAGTGACCTTAATTTAAAAAATATGAACTCTACCAAAGTCTACTAATACATTTTTATTATTCTAAATCTCATATCAATGGTAAAATTTATTATGTTGGAATACTAAAAGACTTTAACAATATGTAAAAAACATAAGATGCGATCTACTAAACCAATTATAATAATTCTACTATAGTATTAGAACCGTTTTATAATATTTGTTAAAGGCTCAACATTTAGGTTTACCTAGATAAAAAAAAAAACTTTCATCGTAAGCTAGCTGTATTCCAACCCTATAGAAAAACTATAACAACTTTTGACAATTTCTACTACGTAATAAATTTGAGATTTTACACTCTTTAACTTTGAATTACCTCTTAAAGTTTCCAGCCAAGATAATAATTTATTTTTGATTATAAAATTTAAATTTTTATAAACTACGGTATATAGATTACTTTAAATTATTTAAGTAATGTCTAATGAATAAAAGAAAAGTTCTATAATTATTAAAAAAAATTGAAATGGACAAAAGAGATATACGTACGTATTAATAAATCATAACATACATAGTTATGTAAACTACAGTATAAACGTTTAAAATTTGTAAAATTATTTACATCAAGAGTTATATAATCTAGAGAAAATAGGTTTTGTTTTTTTGAAATACCTAACTAAATAAATATAATAAATATTTCACCAAATATCACCAAAATAAGAGTCTAATAACCATAAAAAGAATTTTTTAAAGGAATTAAAAATCGAAATGTCTACAAAAAACCAAGCGATTATAGAAATCAAAACCACCAAGAATACAGAAGTAGTGAATAAAGAGAAATTAAATTTAGGTAAAAGATTATGAAAAGTATTATTGTTATTAGAAACATTTTTATTTTGTTGTCTAATTTGTTTATTAACATATTCAATTTTCTTTTCTAAATCAGATTCTTGAGCACCATAATGTTTGGCTAATCGAAATGCGGAAATTGAATTATGAAATTTATTTTTCTCAAGTAAAATGCAACCTAACCGAATTTGAAATTAAATAAAAAGGTTAATAAAAATTAAGAGGATATATTTAGTAAAGATCGAGAGAGAGAGAGAGAGAGAGATGATACCTTTACGATAATATCCTTTCGCCCATTGTGGATCTAATCGAATACAAGTTTCAGCATGTTCGAGAGCTTCATCCAATTTACCAAGTTTCAAATAAACTTGAGCACAATTAGAATTAACCAATAAATCGTTTGGATTCATTTCAAATGCTTTTAAATATTTTTCTAAACTTTCATTATACTTTTGTTTTTTATAAAGTTCATTTCCTTGTAATCTTAATTTTTCTGTAATATTATTGGTTTTATTTATAGAAGTTTTTTCAAATACTGTATTTCCATCATCATCATCATCCTCATCAGAATCGGTAATAAGATTTTTAATATCATTACGAGATATTACTTTTTTTTCAAGTTCTTGACGTTTTCTTAATAATTTTTCAGCTTCCTCAACCTTTTAAATTTAAAAAAAAAATTTATGAAAAATAAATAATGAAAAATAAATAAGAAATAATGTATAACGTATAATGTAAATTAAATTAAAAGTAATACCTGACCAAGTTCTTTATAACATTTTGCTAATCGAGCATATCCAACAGAATGTAAAGTAGTATTTCCAGGTGCTATATCATTACTAATTGGAGTATTTGGTAAAGCAAGAATCTTTTCGGCTAAAAAAAAAAGGTATGAATATAACAATATAACATGTGAATATAAAATATAAAATATAATTTATGAATTTAACAAATGAAATAACGAAAATTTAAAATTAATTTAGAATATAATTACCATCAATTTTTGCTTCCTCATATCTTTCTAGTTGAATTAAACTAAATTAAAAAATGAATGAATAACGAACGATCAAAAATAAAATTTTTTAATGATATTTATACGTAATGACTTTTGAGATGAAATAGATGAATATAGATATAAACAAAGATGTGGTACCAAGTGCACCTACTCAACAAAGGTAAATAAGCATCAGGTAATTTTTCAACAAGAAAACCAAAAATTTTAACAGCTTCATCCAATTTATTTTCAGAAATTAGTTGACCAGCTTTTTGAATTAATTGTGGACCGCTTAAATGTTCCATTGTTTTTTTTTAAAAAAAAAAAAAAAAAATTTGAATGAAAAATATAAAAGATTAGTCTACCAATTAATTTAAAATTTTGTTTAATTTTAATACGTATGTGCATGCATAGTACAGTACCGAACCTTAAAATCACGTGAATGTGAAAATGTGATAGACCAACCCACGCGTAAAATTCAGTGTTACGTGTAACCTTGTAATTTTGCCAAGGGATGAACACGGAATTACGATACGTATAAGATTTGTCATTTAATTATTTATTATTGCGACACTATATTACGACTTATATTAACGATGTTAAAATATATATTTAATATGTAAAGATTAGGTTAATGGTTGTAAATATTAGAATCAACATTTTAAGCAAATTAATATATAATTAGTAGTAACGGTGAACAAAAAAAAGTGATATATTCGATTAGAGTTTATACGTACGTACGTACGTACGTAAACCGGTTTTATTTTTCATATGTTTAAAAAAAACCGATTAAAAAAAAAAATTAAAACCGGTTTTAACATATGAAAAACAATAATAAACCTTGTTTTAAAAAACAAACTTTAGATATTTCGTGTGAATATTCAAAATATAATTTTAAAATATATTCAAGAAAATATATTCAGGGATTCAATGAAATGAAAAGGATACAAGGGCATTATCTGAATAATCTAAATAAATGAATAAATTTAAATAGTGATATTGGTAACAAAATTGAGTAATTTAAATGATTTAATTTTAAACAATGATATCGATCGATAACAAGTTGAATGATGAAAAGAATACAAGGGCGTTATCGTTATGTATCAAAATGATTAGTTTTAAATAGTGATATTGATAACAAGTTATTAGGAGACCGAATAGATAGAATATATATATATAAATAGAGATATATATGTATATATATATTTTACGACAAATAATCAAATAATTAAATAATCAAATAATAAATATTTTAAAATCATATAGTTACTAGTGTAGTATAAAGTTTAAGTTGATATATCGATATAGTTTAAGTTGATTAAAGTATGATGTCACGTGAACGGGGACCATTGTATAAAGTTTATTTAAAAAAAGCCAATAGAAAAAATAGAAGCAACCTTACCTAATGTTTATATAACAATCGGACATCGGGGGAGAGTTATAAGTAAAGTTAGCCTATCAAAAGTCTCGTGATTCAGTTTTTGTGACCTTTAAGAAATCGCGAATATGAAAAAATATATATAGTATTACCAAAAAATTTCCAATAAAAATTAAAGAATAAAAATAGCGATAATTCATTTATACATTAACATGCATATTTATTGTAAATTTAATTTTATTTTATTAAGGTAATCAAGTGTACACCATGATGGAATGTTCCACCGTAATATACATAACAAATCAATTAATTTATCGCGTCCCTCATGTTTTTTTTTTCTCTTGTTGATCAGAAAGAAAATTTATAAGATTCATTGTTAAAGAAGGCGTTACTAAAAAACGTTGTATACCGATACACGATAAGCTGATACACTATAAGTTATAAAATATTGTATACAATATATCAATACTGCAAATACTGCAATATACAATATGCGAATGATAGGAAGCCATTTTAAAAACAGAGTTCAGCTGTAAAAGTATTAATGACACTTTTTTTGGTAAAATGGGCAGAACCGAAGGAAAATAGAGACGCCTTTCGATTACAAAAGAGGAATGATTTAAGGATTAAAAAAAGGAATTCAGGACATGAAAATGTGGCTATTATAAAAGAGTAGTTATTATGATTATAAAATCGATTGCATTAAAGAAGTTAGTGTCAAAAAAAGTAATGACAGAGAAAGTAGTGTAAGAAAGTAGCATTAAAAAAAGCAGTAACAAAAGCACTAAAAGAGTAAAAGTGTAAAAGCAGTAAAAGAAGAAATGACAGAAAGCAGTAACAAAAAAAAGCAATAATAGAAAGCAATAATAAAAAGCAGTAACAGAAAATAGTAACAGAAGCAGTAACAGAAGCAGTTTCAAAGTATCGGCATAAAAGCAATAAAGAGATAGAGTTGCATTAAAAAGGGATAATTGATAATTTAAAAATTATAGTATAAACACAATATACTTATTAAATAAAAGGATCATAAGGGAGTAACGCAAACTTCGCGACTTATTTTGGTGTCCTCGTGTTGCGACTCGTGAACAAATAAGCACAATAATTTTTTTTCAATTAGCGCGCAACTCGTGAACAAATAAGCACAATAATTTTTTTTCAATTAGCGCGCATTTGGTGAAAATCGTGATATAATCAGGTAAGTATAATCTTTATAAATATACAATAAAACCCTAGTTGGCCATTTGTTTAAAGGTTCTATTTTAAAGTAAATCTTAAAGTAAGCCTTAAAGTTAGCGTACAAGTGACCTTTTAGTCATTGATAGCATTGGAGGCGCATGTGTGAACGTTCTACATTAATATATAATTGGTATGTAAAAGGAAAAGAAACAAGCCTAGTTTTGAACTTTAAATTTAACTAGACATTTTAACAGGATAAGGAACAATTACGCAGAACTTTATATTATTTTCTACTGTGTCTACAGTATGTTATCTACGGTGTATGGTGCTTACAGTGCGATTTTTTTTTTTTTTGATACCTATTTTTTAATATTACTCTTATATAAACTCATATAACTTATATATAACTTATATATAACTTATATATAGCTTATATATAACTTATATATATATAACTTATATATAACTTATATATAGCTTATATATAACTTATATATATATAACTTAGGTTTATGATTTATGTGATTAATAGTTACTATAACTAATAATTATTATTATAAGAATAACGTTAATATAAACCAATTTAAATTAAAATAGTCAGACCGAGTTTGATGTGAACAAAAAATTTTGGAATAAGCCACGAAAACCTTTACACAAATATGTAAAGTAATTCTTTTATGTTTTTCTATGGTGATCAAATATTGATAAAAATAAGTTTTTTTTTTACACACACAAAGATTCACGAGACATCATATAAATCATATATGATACAATAACTTTGATTAGTACGCATTAAAAAAAACGTTGTTAAAATTCGTTAAATCATTAAAAAATATATATATATTTTTTTTTTAAACCAAGTAAATGCAATTAATTAGTTCATATCTGATAACTTTGGTGTGATGTAAAGATTGTGAGTGTGACGCGATCCTGTGCAGCGATCACAACATCAATAACGTCTATGAAAAGTGTGTAGTATAAATAAGATTGTAATATGACGTGACACTTTACAAACACAATTTCTTATTGGATTCACTTGTGTATGGAATAATTGGATTATTTTAAATTTGTAATGTGTCATCGTATCACTATTTGTCGATTAAATGCGCATGAATACAAACTAGTAAAAAAAAAAAAAGGACATATAAAGTTGAAAAATAAAAAACGAAAATACACAAAACAAGTAATAACAAACCACGATTATGTGTCACAAACATGTCAATCATACGTCAATCATATCTATTATTGTCATAGGTTATAGTTACGATTATGATTATGATTATGGTTATGGTTATCGTTATGAGTTAGTTTGATGAAACCTATTCAAAGGGAAAATTAAAAGAAGGTTTTTATTCTTTAATGTTTTTACAATTCCATATTTGAATACAATAATAATAATAATACTAATTATATGATATTGTTATTACTATTCTTACCAACTTATTATAACTGTTATAACCTTGTTATATCTCAGTTGTTATAACTCTAACACTAACTCTAACACACTTCTTTTGTTATCATATATATTTCCAAAAAAAGTAAGAATCAAAACCCTGTGGGTTAAACGCAGATGAGTAAGTTAATCAAATTATACGTATAATAAGTGGTAAAAGTGATGAAAAATATCCATTTCCAGAAATGATATCATTGTGCAAAAAAAAAAGGGATCGGGGAAAAGATTTATCCACATGTTTTGCATGATTAAGCCTCAAACATTCAATTTAATTTGACGATTTAAAGGGTTTAAAGAACACTAGAAAGATGTCAGGGATAAAGATTAAGACTTATTGTTCTTACATTTGTATTTGAACTGTTATCACGGCAGAAATTACAGAATCAGATGATCAATTAACCGAAAATATGCAAATTAATGTAAGAATGTAAGGTAATTCATAAGAAAGAAGGACATGCAATAATAGTAAAACTCGCATACTCTCTTTATTTCCAATAATAAAATATGGGCTTTACCGACTGACCGACAGTGTTTTAAATAGTTTTTTTAAAATGTTTCATTTTTTTTTTCTCGCATGAAATAAAAATTTACATGAAGAGATAACGGAGTGAACGAACGACTATCCGGAAATATATAAGATAGATCAACATCAGATTTAGTAATTTGGCTTGGCTAATGCTTAAAGTCAAACATGTCAGCTGTGGCATTAAAGTTAATGAACCAATTATATTTAAACAAATGCGCAAAACAGCTTATCAAATATGGTCCTACTTTTATGGCCGTTTTTTTTTTTTATGCAAATTGATATGATTCTAACCAACTTTAGTTATATAAATTTTTAATAACTTTAGTTATCAAACTTTAAAAGATAAAAAAGATATATAAAAAAATATAAAAAGATAAAATTAGGATATATGCTTTAGGTTTCTTTTTTTTTTTTAGCAAGTAACGGTAGGATTACGTTTAACTTTGATTTCTTTAATTTTATTGGTTTTCCAATACTTTCCATGCTTCCTCATTCGGTCATATTGAAAATAATGGTATCGCAAAAAAAAATGTACCCGAATTATATATATAACTGATAAAGACGGAGTTCGATGTACACGCATAATGTTTAGACATAATGTTTAGCTTAATTAAATATATGATACGTATGTTAAAAAAAATCTATCTATTCGGCATTTGACAAATTATATTATATATACTTCTCCGATATTAAACTTATTAATTTAATTCATTGAGTTTTCATTGAGTTACTGAGTTATTGTATTTAATATTTTTATTTATTTATTTTTATTTATTTTTTATTTATTTATTTATTTATTTATTAATAAGTTTATTGAATTACTTTTTTATTTATTTATTTTATTAACGTTAATAATAAGTTTATTGATATTGAACTTTTTTTATTATCGAATTAATTATACATATTTTTTATTATTATATATTAAAAAATATATATACATGATTTTTTTTTTTGTTTAACAAAATCAGACTGGACCGAACGGCCTTATCTCCCCGTTAAATCGATTAACATTAATACCAAGAACTAAGGTTTGAAGTATGCAGCAATTCGCCTAAAGCTAATTGAAAAAAAAACAATTTTATTAAGTTGAAGATCATCCATACACTTTCCGATATGTACTTTTGATATGTACTTTTGATCCGAAATAAACTATTATCGGTATTATTATAATTTGTTATTACATACATATTATGGTATTATAATTTAATGATCTACTTTTTTAAAAAAAAAATTCAAAAAAAAATTCTTTGAGCGCCAATATGCAAGGAAGATCGTAGAATTAGGCGCTTTTTTTTTCTTTTTCTTTCTTTTTTTGCTTTGAGTAAGAAAAGGCTTTTAAAAAGTTTTTGAGTAAAAAAAGGCTTTTAAAAAACTTTTCTTTTTTGGAAACTATTTAGTGGCGCAAGTTTTAAAGTCACACGAATATTTCTTTACTAATAACGATAATTAGTACAACGATAATTTGTAAATTTCCAAGTGCAGAATGAGCCGAATGAGCCGAATGTCTAGAACGTCCAGAATAATCAGAATGTACAGAATGATCAGAATGTCCAGAATGATCAGAATGACTAAGAAAAGGGTTTACACAAAGAACACAAGGTCTCGCGTTTTGAATATTAAATAAATTTTTCAACGTAATCAAAACAATAAAGTAAGTATATCGTTACGTGCTTCATGATTACGATCTTAATTCTTTTTTTTATGAAACATTTATTCTTCGGGAAATCTTATAGTACATAACAGATAAGAAAGACTTGAAATATTACTCGACGCGATTTAAGCATTTAATTTTACACTGTCTAATGAGCTTATTTGTATATGTACGTATTTGTTAATAAAAAAAAATTATAAATTTGTTTTATTTACTGTTTTGAGGATTTCGTTCGTAAATATGATGGCAAATATGATTATAGGTAACGTAATATGCGTCGCGTGGTTTCGCAAATACTGTACGTATATAAAAAGATTATTTTAGAATTTTTTTTTTTATTTTTTTTTTTTTGTGCGTAGATTTTTTTTTCGCCGATTCAGGTTACGTAAACTCTTCAGAGACCAAAATAGTCCATAATAGTTATGTAATGTGCATATGTATCACACTACTCATTCTTAAGTACATTTCGTAATCGAATGACAAATGACAAATCAAGTAAAATGAGGAAAGGAGAGTCAAATGTAAATAGTAAATCATGAATAATAAATATCAAATCATAATATCATCAGATATTATATCAGATATGTAAAAAAATTTTTTTTCTCCCCTGTGGTCTTACGACATGATGAGATCTATAGATCCTTAGGAACCTTATGCGGAAATATATTAAAATGAAAGCTTTATGTAAGGTTATAGGGCTCAATGAAAATGATTATGTATTTCTTTTTAATGCATCTTGAGAATACAAAAAAAAAAAAAAAAAGTTTTTTTTTTGGTGCTATCATGAGTATCATGAGATAATATTCGATCACTATACATTAATGCATTTATTATTTTTTAATAACACATATTACTGTATTGATGATATCAATACTTTATTAACTTTATTATTATTGGTTGACATAGTAAATCTTGTCATCTGACCATATACGTATACAATAAAATATCGAAAATGAAAAGAATGAAAAGAATGAAATGATATAAATGAAATGAAATGATATAAATGAAATAAATGAAATGATATAAATGAAATAATATAAATGAAATGATATAAATGAAATAATATAAATGAAATGATATAATGAAATAAATGAAATGAAGTGATATAAATGAAATGCTGAAAAAAAACTCGATGCTCAATAAAGATTTAGCATGTAGCTTGTGAACTTGTGTATAATTGGCACTATTTTTTCTCTTCGTACATGCAAAAAACGTTATTATGACATTGAAATACGCCACAGTGATGTTACAGATGTTATGTGCGTCGTAATGAATTACTGAATTTATAATATGTATATATATATATATATATGTTACGAGTCAAGTTAAACATGACCCAGGTCAATTAAATAATTCCGGCCCGCACTAACCTAAAATTCTGCTAGGGGTCAGGTCAAGTCTTGACTCGTAACATATATATTAACTATAATATATAATATATTAGATATATAATAATAATATATAATAGATATATAATAATAATAATAATAATAATAATAATACATATACGTATTATAGAAATATAATAATAAAAAGATTATTATTACGTATTATCTGTTATCATTATTATTATACGTATCGATATATATTACGTATAACAATAATTAACTACATACGTAGTAGATCTAATAAATACTAACAGATACACAGATACTAACGTTAATAGATACTAATAGATACTAATAGATACTAATAGATACTAATAGATACTAATAGATACTTAATAGATACTAACATAGATGTACGTACAATAGAACGTGTGAAACAAACTTAATTTGATGCTCGGGTACTTCCAATAATTCCTAATGGTCTTTTTTTTCTTCCTTTGGTTAGGCAACATGTCGTGTCAAAAAGGAATAAAATTGATCAGCCGGTGTTAGCCTCTTTTTTGTTATGTTATTATAATAATAAAAAAGCGCCATAGGAGCGGTGAAAAATTACACTAGACATGTGGTGGGCTTTTGTGTAAGGGGGCTCGTGCGCGACCAGATGTTGTTCTTTTTTTACTATACCCTTCTCATACTACCCATGTGACTGATGTTTGACATTTTTTTATCTTGCATAATGTGAGAAAATCAAAAGTAGAAAAAAAAAAAAAAAAGATTATAACTTTAGTGTCAAAATATATACTCATTCACGTTATAGAATGTGAAAATTAGAAGAAAACTGGTTAGAACAACAATGGTTAATGTTGGAATTGTGATCATCGTTGCCAAAATTATGAAACAGGAAATTCCTTTTTTTATTAGAGTACACGAGGTCTCGAATCGGGTCTATAACATGATTAATCCAAATTTTATTATTATTATTATTATTTTTAATACGTATTATCGTTACGTATATATTTTTTTTTGAAAAAAAAACAACGATAATGTAAAAGATAATGTAATGTAAAATGATAATGTAAAATGATAATGTAAAATGATAATGTAAATGATAATGTAATCCATTACGCAAATATGATGTTCAGCTGCTCAATGCCTTAATTATCATCTATTTTTCGGCAGAAACGCAGCCATATGCATAAAGCTCAAACAGGATATCCTTGAAAAAGGCAAGAAATTTCCAAGCCTTAACATGATTGTAAATATGGTATCGATTTTACGTATTGTTATGGTTTCTTTTTATCAAAAAAAACTTTTATTTTCAAATCTTTTAAATCATCTCAAGACTTCTAAGCCATCTCTGATTATTTTTAATGTTTAACGTCAAGATTAGATTACGTTCAAGATTTTGATTACGTACGACGTACGTACGTATGTACACTACGTACAAGCTACGTACAAGATTTGGTTACACTTATTACTCTTAATTACTCTTAGTACTCAGTACTTATCATTATCTTTATTGTGTTATCATATCTTTCTTTCTTATTGTATGATTTCCCACTTATCATTATCTTACTTACTTATTGTATGATTTCCCACCCTTTGGTTTCTTAAGCCTCTAACTTTAACATTAATGTCAATGTTAAACGAAGATCTCTAAATGCTATACAATGTCTTTTAAAGCCTCAAACATTTGACTAATCCAACTTATTTATCCAACTTACTGATCCAGCTTACTGTTTCATTCAATATTCCCTTATTACTTTATAAGTTTGATCGTTGATGAAATCGTTCACATGTTTAAATTGCGCCTCAACTCGTGTCCATCCTCTCCACAGCTTTTTGAAATAAACAAAAAAAAAATTATTATTTTTTTTTCTCACATAGTTCACATAGTCAATCAATCAAGTCACATTCCCGATAAGTTCCGTCATAGCCCCATTTTTCAAAAGTTAAATACTCGAATCACAGAAAAAAGAAAAGTCAACCAGATTAACATTTTTGAAATTATTAAAAAGATAAACAGGATGATAGGCAAACAAAAAACCACTTTAACGAATTAAAATTGTGTACAATATGAAAATAAACAGGTTAAAGAACCAGCGTGGATTTACAAAATCGTTCCACGAAATCATTCCACGAAATCTTAAGAAAAAAATTTTTTTTCCATTTTTTTTTTTTTTTTTTTTAATAGTGATAGTGTAACTAAAAAATGTAATTACACGTAAGTTGAAACTTTCTACAAAAAAAAAAAAAATTTGAATACATTTGTTTTTTTTTTTTTTCTTCCTTTCTTTCTAGTATTATTTAAACAAACTAACCAAACTAACAAACAATTCTAAACTTAAAAAAAACATTAATTTTTAACAATTTTATAACAACGATTATATAATGATAACGATTATATAACGATTAACGTTAACAACCAATTACAACCAATGATAACCAATAACAACCAATAACAAGTAATAACTAATAATAACAACTAATAACAACTAATCACAACTAATAACAACTAATAACAATGTTGACCAATTAATTTTCTACTTTTCGTCACGTAATTATTAATGTTACAACAATCGTATCGTATCGCTATCACGTGGCAAATTGTTTATAGTTTGTAACTCCTCACTTCTTATCCCTGCTTCTTGTCTTACTACTATTTGTCTTACTATGCTATTTGTCTTACTACACTACTTGTCTTACTAATACTTGTCTTGTCTTACTACACTACTTGTTTACTACACTTTTTGTCTTACTACATTCTTATCTTATCGTCGTTAACTCGTTATCTTCTTATCTATTTAAATTATAATATTATTTATATTCATGCATTTCATGTTTTAGCATTACTCTCCCCATGGAATGCGGTGAACTTGTTCTTGAAGGTGAAGAATTAATATCCGAATGATAAGGATGATAATTTCTATGATAAGGTTGATGTATCTTTGTTTCATAATTATTATAATGATGATGATGATTTTTATCACCTCCAGGAATCCAATCCATATTTTCAGTTTTTAATTGTTGTTGATCATGATGTGAATAATGATATTGAGAATGATGACGAGGTATTGGATAAGAAAGATTTCTTTGATGATGATGTTGATTATTATTATTATTATTATTATGTTGTTGTTGTTGTTGTGATTGATTCGATTGTTGTTGTTGATATGAAGAAGATTCTGGTGGTAAATAATTTTGATGATTTAATCTGTTCGTTTGCCATTGACCCATAAATTTTTGTTGTTCTAATTGTTGTTGTAATTTTTTTTCTTCTCCTATTCTTTGATTAAATTCATTTATTGCGTACATCGAATTACCATTTACACCTCCGTGCATATGTATATGACCTGAAGGAATGGATTTTACCGACATCACAGGTGATACTAATGGTGGCGTCGTAACTGATGATGTGTTTGGTGTCGTTGATCCACTACTGGATTGTTTTAATTTCTGTATTTGTGCTTCTAATGCTTGAATATAATGTGCCGCTAAAAAAATAATAATAAATAATAAATATTATATTTTAATTAATTATTAAACTTTTATATTATTATTTTATATTTTAATATATTATTTTAATATAATATCAATATATAATATCAATATATAATATTTAATATATAATATTTAATAAATATCATAAATATGATATCATAAATAATATATTTTAATTTTTTTTTTTTTTTTTTTAGATAATCCAATTTTGTAAAACATTATTGACATTATATGTAAAATTTTTATTGGTTGATTAAAAGTGTTAAAATTCCCATGTGAATTTATCTGTACCACTTTATCACATTCATCTGTTTACATTTCACGTATTTACTTGGCATTTAAGGAAAAAACGAAAAACTTTAAAAATAATAATAATAATAATAATAATAAAATGATTTTTTACCTTTTCGTAATATAATAGCTTTAGAATCTGCACATCCACGACAACTTGGTACTATACTTTTAAGTTCTTCAAAACCTGAATTTATATTTTCTCTTCTTTTTTGTTCTGATAAAATATGTGCTATACGACGATTTGGTGGTGTATGTGATTGTTGTTGTTGTTGTTGAGTTTGTGGTGGCGGCGGTTGATGAAGTTGTGTTGATTGAAGTTCTATTGAATTTGTTATTTGTGTTGATTGAGTTGATGTTTGCATCATTGGTGTTTGCGTTGGTAAATTCATTGATGCAGGTAACATAGGTGGTTGAGATGCATGTGAAAGTGGTGGTGAAAGAAATGGTGGAAGATGATGGTCTTGTCCACGATGAACTTGTGGTGGTGTCATCATATGAGGAAGACTTTGTCTTTTTTGTAAATGTGTATATGTTAACGTTTCGTGACGAGGTGATATTGGTAATGGTGATGGTGGTTTTTGTTTATTCAAAGGATTCGAATTATGACTATCATTTTTTTAATATTTTATTTAATTTTTAATATTTAATTTTAATTTTTAATTGGGAATTTTTTTAATTTCGATTTTTTTTTTTTTTTTTTTTTTAAATGAAATAAATTTTTTGAATTTTATTTTAATTTTAATTTTGGAATTTTGAAACGAAATAAAAAAAAAGAATATAAAAAGAGATGAAAATAATGAGATAAAAATATAAACGAAACCGAAATAAAATAAACGAAATGAAATAAAAGAAATAAAATAAACGAATAAAATAAAAGTATTAATCATCTATCGATAAATGTTTACTAGATATTGCAAGAAAAAAAAAACGTAAACTAACGTTCTTTACCTGATCAAATGTGTAATGTCCATATTTTGTTTGTCTATTACTATCGTCGAATCAATCTATCGATATTGTCGATTATTGATATTATTTGATGTCGATATTGTCGATATTATAGATATTGTCGATGTCGATGTCGATGTCGATATCAAAAAGTTTCAAATACTATCTATCAAATATACTATGTATTTACGAAATCTTTACAAACTTTACAAAAAGTATTTACGAAATATAAATCTTTACGAAATATATGTTTAGAAAAAAAGATAAAACTTGACAAGATAAAAGTCCAAAGTTTGAGATTGATAAAAAAATTGGTACGTACGTAAAAAAACTCGACTTTATATAATAAAAAAAAATTACTTGACCCGTGAAAAAAAAGAATTTATATGTAACGTAAACAAACCCAGTTTAAAAAATAATAATAATAGCATTAAAAGTAACAAGTAAAAATATGTAGGATAAATATGATATGTGTGCGTGTAATATAAAAATATAAAATTTTAATTATTATAAATTGTGACTAAAATAAATTGAAATAAGTGATTTAAAAAAAAAATTTATATATATATACCGTTATATATTATATAATATACATATTTTATATATTTATATATAACAAATATATAGCGTTTAAAATGGTTAGATGTGCAACACACGAAACAGCTGATATAGAAACATAAGTTAGTTCCCCGCATTCGTACTGAATACATAGTGCATGGACCGACCGACTTTTACACTATACAAATAATTGAAAATCAAGATTATTTATTAAAAAATATATATCCTTTTTATTATTGATGTAGTTATATTAATTGCCGATCGATTGATATATGTATATATATGTTCTACAGTTCTATGTATATCTATGTGTATCTAATGTATCTATGTGTAGCATACATTAAAATAATGTGCCAATAAGGAATATCCTGTGATATTCTGGGCTATAATAATATATAACATATCTTGCTTAAATTAATTTAAATTAAAATAATTAAAATATAATGGATATCTGTGCATATTCTCGGTTAGCGTTAGTTGAAAAAGAAAAATTTTTATCTATTCATTTAACAATCATAAGTTGCGTCACACCTTCACATTCACATTTACATACCCTCACATTCAAGATTTTTTTTTTTGGTTTTTAAATCACAGGGATAAGTAAAAAATTGTCAGATCTGAAAAAAAAACCCAATACTCTAATGACGTTAACAGTTAACGTTAACGAACCCCAAAATTTCATTCATAACAAAATGATTTAATCTTTCTTTAGTACATGTTTAATACTTATAGTAATATTTGACCGTACAATGCTTTCAAAAAGATTTATTCTGTTACAAAGAAACTGTATAAAAATCGAAGGAAAAAAATTATAAACAAAAAAGAAGAACAAAGGGAATTATTAGCATTATGTCCATTATTACTGTATTATATCAATCATAGATATAGACTGATAGATTGATAGACTGATAGACTGATAGACTGATAGACTAATAGACTAATAGACTAATAGAACTAATAGACTAATAGACTAATAGAACTAATAGATACTGTAGATTTATTCAATCATTTTATTCAGTCATTTATTCAATCAGTTATTATATTTATTATATTTATTATATGAGCTCTTTATGAAAATATACGGATGCGAGAGGTATCGGAACCAATATGATCCAAGAAGCCAAAATTGAACCAATCCAACAAATTCAAGGTTCAGCCAACATACTTTGTGTTCATGTTCCTAATCTTAGACGTGTATTGTTTTGTCATAATTTTTCAGGACCCCGTGGGCAACATGTCCAACTGCAATGAAAAGGAAAAATGCATTCTTTTGCCAAACTTTATTGTTAGTTGAATGATTATTAATTAACGCCACAAAGAAAAAAATCGCGCGTGCGTGAGAAGTAAATTGAACTTGTTCTCATGCAAGGATTAAACAATTTCTTTTAACCTAGAATTGTTATTGACGTGAATAATGAATAAAGCAGGTGGGGTATTGATACGTTTACATGAAACTTCATATATGGTCGATGTTCTTACTTAAACAGCATCTATACATATGCGTCGCATCTGATGAGATAAAAACAGTACAGATAAACTTGATGCCTGTATGATTTTGCTAGCATATAGGTAAAAAAATTCTAGTATACACGTGTAGTTGCAAGGAAAGAATATACTAGGCATTTAATTGTTGTTTTAATTTTAATTGTTATGTGAATATATGTGAATAAAAAAAAAAAATTTTTTTTTTCTTTTACTTATCTCGATTTGTGATTATTCTCTTTATATAATATATATAATCATATGTATCATACATATATGTATATATTTTTTTTTTTAAAAAAAAATATCATTATATGTTTTAAACTTATAGGGATAATAGGATAATAAAAGCGTACATTCGATGAAAATCGTCTCCATATAAGTTGGACAAATATTTATTAGTGATTTTCGTTTAAAACCGCCAATCTTAATATGTAAGCAACTTTTTTAATTTTACTTATCGAAAAAAAAAAAGTAAAAGGCTGTCAGTTCCCCAGAAAATTCTTTCTTTTGACTTAAACAAGTTATATTTTTGTTTTGAATTTTTATTATTAAGCCAGGATCAAAATAAACCTTGTCTTGCTTGGAATATGCATAAATATACTTTATTACGTAGAAAAAAAATATATAACTAAATTTTGAATACGTAAAAAATATGAATAAAATAAATTATTTTAATTATTTTGAATATACTTGAAAAAATATACTACAGTATTACATTACAGCATTATCGTAAAGAGGAAAAATTTGAATATCATGAGGATTCGCTTCGGATGCGGTGTTACATATTGGCCCATGTATATATTAATTGCTACCATTTGAGGGGTCTGTTCGTGTGACAGTTTTGGGGTCACAATAAAAGGCCTGATTTTCATTTTATTATATAAATGTGATGACTGATTACCTAAAGGATTATAAAAGTGATATACAGAATTCCATCCCTTTTTACATATTGTAATTCGCTTTTGTCGATTACTATCAAAAGTAATTACAAAGTACAACAGCAACATACATCATTTAATACGTAATCTGTTGATTATATACGTAAACTATTATGTTATTTTTCAAGGTCTTTGTCAAAGGTCCTTATCAAGGTCTGGTCGAAATATTTCATCTTTTTTTTTTTTTTTAATTTTCAAACTCTCTCTTTTAATTATTTCTCTTTATTAATTCAAATATTCAAATGTGTTTTAATGTGTTTTAAAATTATAATGGTTTAGATGCGTAAGGATTTTTCATCTGTTATAAAAAGTTGCATTGCAGCCATGTGTGTAGTTGATCGCTTAATGTTAAACTCGAAACTCTTCTTTTTTACCTTTCTTTAGGGCTGAAAAACATTGTTCTTTTTGTAATGACAATGAATCACCTGGGGGTAATGTTTATTTTCCGAAAAAATTCCGTATGTTCCGCATGTTCCGTTAATCCCGTTAACGCTAATTCCGTAAATCCGTAATGGCATTATCTGTGATTCGTGATCAGATCGGATTCCTATCACGTGACTAAACATCGGTACATATATATATATATATTTTTGTAATATTTACAAATATGAAAAATAATCAAGATTTTTTTTTTTGTTGACAAAACCGGAAAAATAATTTTTTTTTCTTTGTGCTTGGCAGTTTTTATGACATGTATAATCTGCCTTTAAACTTGTTTTGATCTTGAAGCATCGAGATTCATTTTTTTTTTTTTACTTATCGATATTTTATCGATATTTATCGATATGAAATGCACAAATGTTCGGAATTTGAGTTACGTAATAATCTAGGTAAACACGTCAAAGATATCACTGTGAAACATTGATCGTTTAAACATCTGGGGTCATTTTTCAGACTTTTGGTTTTTTTTTTTTTGTGATTCAAAAATTTCTCGAATTCTATAATTCGAAAACATATTTCTTTTTGCCAATTATAGAAACTTATTTTCAAATTAACGGTGATATCCTTTCTTCTTTTGTTTTGGTATGTAACAGTAGGAGATTCTTTGACTTGACTTTTCTAGTCCTAATGCAAAGTTTTTCCTGCTCTGGTTTACCGTTAAATATTTGACATCTTAATTAAAAATCAATTTATTTTCAATTATTTCGAATTTAAATATTTAATTCTCAAAAACACTAATTCCATCTTTTTTAGGGATTAAATGGTACGACAATCTGAAAGAATGATCTCATTATTATTAAATGATCTGTACATGTGCCTATCAAAAAAATTTTTTTTTTTTACATTGGCCATTTTTAGATTCAAGGCGTTAATTTTTTATATGACATAATGGTAATATATAATTGTACGTATAATAGAGATCAAATACGTGGCTAAGCCTCAAATAATTAAAACTTCTCAATTTATGATCTATGATGTATATAATCGGAACAAATCCCAACTACACCATTCCTTTTTAGGTTAAGCAACATTAATCTCAAGCTTCTTATTAATGTATGTATATTTTATTTATTTTATAATCTATTATTATATTATACTCACGCGTTTACCTTTTAGAAATTTCGAAACTTTTATTAAAAGATGACCATACTAATACAAGTTAATTTGGGACAAGTTAATTCGGAACAAGTTAATTTGGGAATCAAGGTCATAATAATATTGGTTATAACGGTCGATAGTGGTCGATAACAATTGCAGATATTTAATATCAAGAAAATCTTTAATTTATTGAATTATGAAATTTTAAAAAATTGGTACTATAATTTTAATTTCTCATATTGTATGTAGTTATTAAACGCGTATTATTGTATAATTAATCTAGGAATTTTATCTTGAATTATAACGTATCAGATTTATTTACTACTTCAGATTATGGTGAATTTTTTTGATGTTCTTCAAATTATCTTATTGAGATTGATTTTTAATTGATGTTAAATAAATCAAATAACCTGATTTAATTATAATTATTATACTAGATCATAAGATATTTACAGTGATCGAAAATACGAACGGGAAATAATTGTTCGCGTCATACATTCCATAAT